TTGAAAAAATTACAGAAATCCACCTTTTAGTTTACTTATCACCATTATCCCATATAAGTTTTACAAATCTCTAAAATTTCTCATTTTCGCGCATCAGACTAGTGTATCTCGCGCATCAGATTAGTGTATCTCGCGCATCAAATTAGTGTATCATGTATAAAATGTACATCATATTAGTGTATCATGTATAAAATGTAATGTATCTTACTTAACGATTAATGTATCTTGAGCATCAGATTAATGTATCAGCGCTTATATTATTGTATCCGTTTGAAGGATTTCTATAATTATAAACTTTTAAGGGATATATTGTAATTTTGCCTTAAAAGTATGTGATTTATGTAATTTTTCCATTATTCTTTATGCTACTTTGAACATCCAAGAGAAAAGACAAAAGAGACTGCTAATTTGGAAAATTTCTCTAAAAATACTTTTAGAAAACATTGATTTTACACATTCAAGACAAATTTTAAATAGCAATCAATTATCAATTCCATTCGAGCTCCAATTGAAAAACAAACCGAAAACAAAAAGAAGAGAAATACAACAAAAATAACAAAAAAATAACGAGGAAATTTTAAGAATTCTTTAGATGACAATTAAATTTATCATATGTAATATGTTTCATATTATTTGTAATTGTATAGATCCCATCACCATGACATATTTGCTGTCAAATAGTAAAAGATTCTTTTCATACCGCCAAAACTTTATGATTTTCAACGCTTTGACAAATTTGTGTTTTAAATCAAAAAGTATTCCTTCAGTGTGTTTGTTGAAAGGGTTGCAAGTTAAAACACTACTTTTTGTTTAAGTCTAATAGACTATACCTTAATCTTGTTTTTAAAAAAGGAGCATTTTTTTACTCTCGTATAAAAAGATACTAGTACTATATTAGAGTTTAAACGATTTATCAATATGAATTGTGATAGAATGATTATGATCATTTCATTCATAATTAAAAATCTCGAGTTTGAGTTCGTTCTACGAATAAATAGAATCATATTTGGACAAGAATTTTAAGAAATGAACCCTACACTACATGAATTCAAATTTAATCGAACTCTAATGAAAGTATCGTATAGTAGGATAGATTTTTTTTATTCTTGACGTTGTTCTAAAAAGTTAATGCATATCACCTACTACCACATTAAGAGGTGGTCCGTGTGGTTTCAATAGATAAACACGTTTGCAGGATTATTTCAAAAGTAGGTGAGTACACCATTTCTTGGTCACCTGGCTTGCAAAGTGTCAAATATTGTCTACTCTACCAATCAATTACACTCTAGTCAATTTTAACTTTTGAACCAGTTGAAGTGGGAAACCGGGTACGCAGTTTAGTTATTTTGTTGAAGCGTGTAAAACAAATATTGAAGTAACCAATGTGAAAATATACCACTCTTTCATTTAGTTATTTTTAGGTTTCCTACACTTCGTGTCCTTGTCTCACTGAGGTGACGTTTCAACAAGATATTCTTCAGATTCAAACGTAAGACTTTTGGTTAAGAATAAAACAGTTTTACTACTACACCATAACCTATGTTGGTGTACTCCCTCATTACTATTTTACTTGTCATTTTTTTTAGTTTATACAAAGAAGACTATCATATTCTGTTAAAGAATGATAAAAGTTTCACATTGATAGTTAATGAGATGAGTGGACTCCTTATAAGACTTGGACAATCCTCCTCCCTTTGAGCTAGCTTTTGGAGTGTGAGTTAGGAACAAGACCTAATTTCACATATTTTTATTTATTATTTTTTAATTATTTAAAATGTTAATCTCATTATGATAAAGAAGAAGATAGTTAATTTAAACAATCGCATTAGTAAAGTATGTGTATATGTTCTTCACTTAGATTTTCTATATTAGTTAGTTAATCTTTATTACTTCTAAGAATAATTATTAGTGACAAAATGGATTCATATATTTAATTATATCTTGATTTTCTATAATAACAATTATTTTGAACCATCCATTTTTATAAGGACGACAGACAATTATAAAGTGACGCGTAGGGAGTACTCCACTTTGCTTGAATTTTCGAAACTCTACGTACCATCATTTCTGAGTTACACATTTTTCCTCTTGGTAGGTCAATAATTGGGATAATATTATCAGCGTCATTCCAATTTCAAATCCTAGTCGTGCAAGCTAAGTCCTACCATCATCCATTATTATATCCCACATTTGATAGATAGTTTTGTACCAAATTTAGGTGTCTCACAGCCAGACCAAAAATATTTACATAGTTTTGCAGAAACACCATAAATTTAGGTGTTCTAATTTTTATCTATAAATTCGCCAATGATATTGTTCACGCTCTATATGAGTGAGATATTTGATTTCGTTATATTGATTTGAGGGGTTTTCACTAGCTTTTGGGTCAAGTTAGATTCTTATTCAACTTTTATCCAGTTTCTATAAAAATAATAAGATTTATAAAAATGAGTCTACGCAGAGAGATTATGATAACAATTACCCCTTCATTTTAATTTTTTTGTTTTAGTTTGATTTTACATGATTTAAGAAAATAAAAAAGATTTTTAAATCTTATGATCTTAAGTATTTCAGATAATTAATATTGAGTGTGCTAAATATAAAAAGTGATATTTTTTTAAAACAAATTAATACGAAAATTACAAGTAAATTGAATATAATTTACACATTTATAGATCATATTAAAGTATATTAATTAATATAAACCACGAAATTTTAGCTAAAAGTTAAAATCATCCGGAAAAATTGTGAATGAATATTGTTCTTATTGGCTTACTTAATAATATACTTAGTGTCATTTTCTTGAGATTCTTTCTTGAAAAATTCAACATTTTCGAATAGATTTAAGACTTAAGGTATACATTGGCCATGTACGTAGATATCAATATTATTAGTGTAATGTACATGTGATTGTAGAACAATTATTGTTTTTAATCTATTATTCTTCTCGTTCATATTAAGTGAATTGACTTACTTAATAATAATACTTCGTGTCATTTTCTTGAGATTCTTTCTTGAAAAATTCAACATTTTTGAATAGATTTAAGACTTAAGGTATACATTGGCCATGTACGTAGATATCAATCTTATTAGTGCAATGTACATGTGATTGTAGAACAATTATTATTTTTAATTTATTATTCTTCTAGTTCATATTAAGTGAATTGTTGAGATATGATACACATTTTTTAAAAAATATTCAAGGAAACTATTACTTTTATAATTATTTTAAAATGATTCTCATAGAAAATGTAAACTAATTTAGAACCTCATAAAAAAGAAGAAGATATATATGAGAAAAAAAAAGATTCAATAATTCTCTTAAATTTTTTAAAAATCAACTTATTTTGAACTATAACAGAAGTCCAAGGATTCACTTAATATGATCAGAAGTAGAGATATAAATTAATGATTATTATAGATTATCTTATAGATAACTTAATTGTGTATATTTTACATTTTTAGTTTGAAAACTTGATCTTTTTATAAAGAACAGTTTACTTTACAATTTTTACTTTCACAATAGCAATCCAAAGGTCAAACAAGCATCCACCTCCACAAATTTATAGTCCCTCCATTTCAAATTAATTAAATTGTTGAGGTGTTTCACACCCTTTAAGAAAAGAAGATTAAGACATAAATTAGGTATAATTTTCCATTTTTATCCTTATTAATTATTGTCAAATTTATGATTAAAATAACTAAACATTAATTAATAACTAATTCCAATACTAACTAATGAAGGGTAAAATTGAAAGAACATTCAAAAAGTAGTCTTAAAAATTAAACAACTAAATTAATTTGAAAAATGAAAAATATCTCAATAATTCAATTAATTTAAAACGAAGGGAGTACCTCTCATTTTCTGGTTTGTACGAGATCCACGCTAAATTCCTTGGGGAGCGGACATTTTGTTACCCATTTACCATTGTAGTTTTATAAATAGAGTTTGAAAAAAATATATATATATATTTTATTTGTATTTTATAGTATAATAGAGTTATTATTTCCTGTAGATCTTCATTTAAATTAAATATATCAAATACTTAGGGGTTGTTTGGTAGTTGGTTAGAGCAGCAGTGTCGGTTCAAGCAAGTTAGTGGCCTAAATTCAAAAATAAATTGAAGGCGATTTTTTATTTATTTTTGAGATGCAAATTATTTCTTTCTTTTTATTGATTTTTTTTATGGTCTTAAACTATATATATATATATCAACATATTTTTTAATCTTGTAATCTTAAATATGTCAAGTGGGAGTTAAATTTAAAAATTGACAAAAAAGAAAGAAACATTTCTTAATGTTTTGAAACAAACTAAAAAAGACAAATAAAATGAAGACACAATATAATAATTATTTTTTGTTAAGAAAGGACTTATAACAATTATACTACTACTAAAAAAGGGGGCCTAAGACGGACGACTTATTTTTAAAGAGATTGACTGTTCCTGAATTAGAGTTATGTAGGTATTACTGTATTAGTAAAGTAAGAATTGTTATGAGGGAATCTATTTAAATTTTTATATAGATATTAATTATTTTTTTGCTATGTTTTTTACTTGCATAAAATAATTGAGAAATAAATTTCTCATATGTATGTATACATATTCTAATTATGCAGATTTGTAATTATAAACTAAACACCGTATTAATTTATTTATTTTTACTAATAAAAAAAAATACGATAACAAATATCCTTCACCAACTTACCAATGTTAGTCAAATCTTTTATATGTGAAACGCACGACTATTCACTACTCCTGTCATTAAAAAATTTGGCATTCTCGTAAATACTTCCCACAATTGTGCCTAGTGTTAAAATCTTATTTAATAGGACGAAACACGCTGTTTGGTCTACCAACATTTGCCAAAAAGATTACTTATCCGTGGTTAAGTTTTATACCCCAATAAGTTTTAACCATAGTTAAGTTTTTTTAATTCCTCTAACTATGGTTAAGTTATTGTCTCTCCCTTTATATATTAAGCAGCAAAAAAGAAGGAAGAAATAACAGAATTTTATCAAAGCACAGAGAAATTCAAAACGCACCTTTAAAATGGCAGTCTACTTAGATGAAGAAGAAGTATGGAAATGTCCAAAACACCCTTCAAAGAGACGAAGGAACGGTGTTTGCCCTGTTTGTCTCAAGGACCGTCTCGTCATTCTTTGCCCCGACTGTGCTAACGTACGCCCCTGTGCTTGCTACGCCTCTGCCACGTCGTCGTCTTCCTCCTCTTCATCTTCGTTTTCTCTATTTTCCTCATCGACCGGTCGTAGTGGCGGCGGTTGCGAGGGAGGTTGCTCAGTTGCACGAGTCTCCAATCTCATATATAGTGAACCGTCTTTCCGTAGATCGAGATCCGTCGGAATTCCGTTCCTCCGATCATCACGAGACAAAAATTCCGTCGACAGAAAAAATCAGCCGAATTGTAAAAACAGTAAGATGAGCAAAACGCCGTCGTTTTGGTCTGTTTTCAAGTTGAGTAAGAGTAGGAGATACGGAGATTCAGAGAATGATGAATTGAAACCGAAACCGAAAGCCAAAGCGGATATTCATCATGAAAATATTAACGAATTTACTGATGGTAGAATTGAGGATTTTGCAAGGATGATGAAGAGATCACGATCAATGAGTGTAGTGATAGCGTCAGTTTCCGGCGCCGGTGACGGCAATAAGTCGCCGGCAAAGTCCAAAGGATGGCATTTTCCAAGTCCAATGAAAGTTTTCCGGCAATCGAAGGCTTCGAAATTGGTTCACGAACGGTCGCCTTTGTACAGAGGTTGAGTTTTCGTTTTTTTTTTGAGTGTTTTCTAATGTTCAGCAAATTACTAAAGAGTATTGTATGAAGAAAGTAAATAGTAACAAAATTAGTTTTATTTCTTTGAGTACGAAAAAATAATTGCACTAATGTATTTTATTATTATTAGAAGAAGTTGCAATGTACTTTAAAGTTGAGTAAATCTCCATTGTACATGTCTTCAACTTCTTTATTTTGTTTCTATTGAATCTAATTTTATGTATATGGTTTTTGGTACGTTGAATATCTTATCATTGCATTGTCGTATAAATATTGAATAACTCTATTATAACACCAAATTTATATATATGCTTGGCCCTCTGGATATAGTAGGAAACATTTGTTTATTTTATAGTCGTGATATTGAAATTAATTTACGTCGATTTTAATTACTTTTAGAAGATACATATATTACTTTCTATTACCACACATATTGAATACATCTGTCTTCATCGATTGATCAAAACACATATTGAATACATCTGTCTTCATCGATTGATCAAAACATTGACTGTTGAGTTCGATTTTGGTTCACCTAATTTTGACTCAAAGTGTGAATATTAAGTCTTATCAATTTATGGTTATGTCACTCTATTCGTTTTCAAGAATGATGTAATCTATACATAAACATAATATAATTTTGAGCATTGCTTCATCATTTATTTTATTTTATTTTATTTTTGCTTCAGTTTAACTTCCATAAATTTTGATGGACCAATCACTACAAAAATAAATAAATAAATTAAAAGTAACTATTTATTGATAATTTGCTAATAGCTAACGCCTAACAAAATTATGTCACCAAATAAAATCAATAACAAATTTTACTATTTAACTACAAAATATTTTCATGGCTAAATCCTGGTTTACAACTCATTAATCTTGAAATAGATGAATTACATACATCTTGCAATAAAAATTTGATTCCAGATCGTTTTTTCGGCTACAAGATATTATGTTAATTATTTTATGACCAAAATAGCATGTTACCTTCGATGGGGTCGATTTTATAATATTTGTTATTTATGGGGTATATTTTTCTTTATTTTGATACAAAAGGTAGAAACAAGTGGTCCTACATCCTTGCCAATATGGGAGAATAATTCAAGATTATATCTATCTTTACTTTGTTTGATAGAGCGTATTAAAAATAATAAGTATGTATTAGTTTTATATATTAATAGTGTCTTTGGAGTATATTATTAATAATATATGGAATTTATGGATTTAGTAATATAAGGAGATTAAATGTATGTATTAGAAATTAGAATGATTAAAGATCCAACTATTTCTCAAAAAAATATTTTTATACATTTTTTCCATCATATTTATGGAAAATATCTTTGTAAATAAATATTTTTTTAAAAAATTATTCAATACATATTTATTTTAATACATCAAATCAATTAATGTATAAGAAATTATTATCTCTGCATAATTAAAATAAGTATTATGAATATACATTATTTAGCATTACTCTTATATACTCTTTCAAATGAGAAACTAAATAGGATTCCAAATTTTAGATTAAAAGAGAAGAGAAACAAATATATTATCAATGACATTAGATAACAATACTATGCGGATGATTATAACTATGTACCTAGCATTTTTTTGTGGTGTTACGTCATCCTCATCTGTGTGATAAATATAATCCATAATAATAATAATAATAATAATAATAATAATAGTGGTCCTACATGTTAAGGATCATTATCAATAGCAAAGAAAGAAATTGATTGTGCAAAGTAAGACAGTCATCAAGATATATACAGAACAAAATTTATCAAATAATTTAGGGTAGTTGGTTAGTTAATGTAGACTTATGATTGAAATATAATTTAATCATATATGCTCATAAATTTGAGTGTCATTACATAACAATAATTAATTATAAGTAGGTATATATGAATGTTATATATTGTTGTCTAATTATTAGTGACCATATTTGTTTGTAAGAAATCAAAGCAAATTGAAACAAAAGCACATGCAAGGTGTTGTTTTTCTTTTTTATTTTTACACAAATCCAAAGTATATCAGTTCAAAGATTAGGTATTAAATCATGTCAAATAAAATGGGCCGGGGGTCCTTTCCTATCTTTATAAGCCTTATGACAAAAAAAGTTGTTTTTAATGAAATTCAGGCCCCTTTTGAAGACAATTTAAGAAAAATAATTATTATTTCAGATATTTTACTTGAACTAGAGGCACTTCAATTTTAACAAATTTTAATTGTATTAATGGAGCTCAAGTTGTCTCGTGACTTTTTCTTTTGAGCAGCTTTTGTCCTAAATAAACCAAATTGGAGTAAATTTTTCCAAATACTTTTGTGGATGAATGTTAATCATGTTTAATATTGTGGATGAAGGGAGGGATGTAAGTCGTGCGAGAAAAATATAGAACGAGCGTGAAAAGTTAACGATCATGTAATGTACATAATTTTTTGTCATTTAATCCTGATAAAAATATCGTTCATAAATCATAATCATGTAAATTGATATTTACTGAATTTTTCGCAAGATGGAACTTGCGAATTTTATTTGCAATTACAATTTTGTTTCATTTACTAAGTTATATTTCCTCCCGCTTCACATTGGGAAGCCCACATTGAAGCTTCGACTAAATTCGGATCGCACTCTGCAGGGCCATTCGGGGGTGGCGCTCCCAACATGATTTCTCCATACCCCGGGCTCGAATCCGAGACCTCTGATTAAGGGTGAAGCACTCCATCAGTGCAGCACAACCCATGTTGATAATACAACTTGTCTTCTCTGCCTTGGGAAGTAGCAAAAAAAAAGGTTTTTATTTTTGCACTTGTTTATAAAAAAATAAAAAAAAACTGTACTTCCATTGAAAGATAATTTCTTTTGTCTTCAATTATTATTATTTTCTTTTTTTTAAAAAGGCGTTACTTGGACAAAGCTGTGGCGGCAGGTGACGGAGGAAGTAATTTAGCCACCCAGAGACAACGAAGTACGTAATAATCTACAAAATATTTTGGAGAATTGAAAATAAGTATAAATTAGCAAATTTTTAGAATAGAGTATTTGATTGTGCTCTTTTAATTATTAAAATTGTAAAGAGTCATGAAGTTTTGATGGTCGAAATTATCTAATATATCGTACATGTACTAATGAGTGATGATAAATATTTAATAAATAAGCAAGGTATATATAAACTAATCGGATATCAATATCATATAAAAAAGAATCGCCACCTTTGTTGCCTCTGTATATGTTCAACATAAAATGGTGTAACTATGTGAACGCTAGATTAAATTTTTGACTAATTAACGGCTGATACAAATTCAATTAAGTGCTAATCAAGTAGCATTATATACTATATAATATTCACAAGACTACTTTTGACGAATATTTTGACATGATTATGGTAGTTGATTTCTGTTACATAATAGTAATAATATAATAATAATGTGAAAGCTTATTGCTAAAATTTATTGCCCATTGACTAAGGTTCTACCAACTATTTTTACTTTAATTTGGAATAGTCATAACTCATAAACCTTTTTTGTTTGTTTGACAATCTACCTTTACCTGGTTTGATGGTTCAAAATGAACTTTTTAGCCTATGTAATTATTAAAAAGTTCAAGAATGAGAAGTCAAAGACACATGTTAATTACCTATATATATAATTGCTTTATAATCTAACTTGTCAAAATGAAATCTTATAACAAATGGTTCTTCTTTTTGTTGGTGCGACTATGATGCTAAAATTGCGGGGCCATTGATTTTGTAACGATTTATAAATTTGTTATTTAATTTTATAAGAACTATGAAAATAACAAAAGTTTATTTTTCTTCTATAAAAACGGTAAAGATGATTATTGAATTGTAAAGTAATATAATTACCTATATTTTTACAAAAAGAAGAAGGATATAAATATAATTTTAGGGGTTATTTGATTCATTTGGATAATTTTCTTTATTAATTGTTTGGTTTGTTGTATTAAAAAAATAAGTACATGCATAATATAATTTCTAAGTAGTTGTTTGTCGAATATCATCGACTTTATTTAGTAAACAAAAGGATTTGAGAGACTTTAGAAATATTTTCGTAATTTTCATTATTTTATCTTAAGATAATTAATCTCGGTACTTACTTATATTCCACCATGTTGAAGATATGTCCAAGAATATTGAAAAAATAAAACAAGAAAACGAGCTACAATTTCTTTTACATAAATTCATTTTTTGAGTAGCTAACTTCTAAAAAATTTAAATTATTTTTATTAGAGTTCTGTATGGCTTGAATTTAGGAGTTAGTTTCTTTCTATTTGTTATTTGAAATGAATTGATAAGTTTACTAGTATATTTTTCTATTTTGAGTTAGAAATTATAGCTATTAATATGTCTTTAAGGTATTAATAAAATAAGTTTAGTGTATATTTTTTTCCTCTGAATGTCTTTCGCCGTTATTTTCTTAATATCTTACCCCAGTATAATTATTAATCTTAGTATGACTTGGTCCAAAATAAGTAACCAAACAAGACTTGAGATAATACTAAATTTTTATTCAAGATTATCTATATTTATACATCATACCAAACGATCCCTAACCTAAAAAAAAACACGTACAGATTATCTTAGTTTACCAAAAGCATGAAATTGGAGTATTAGTTTTTGCTAAACCAAATCCTTATAGTATTTTGTCCGAATCTTTGGAATAGTTAATTATAAACCCAATCACGTGATTAAGCTGGCTGTTTGGTTGTAAAATCTTCATAGAAGATTTAGGGACCATTTTTTTATTTTTTGGGTACAGGATTTAGGACCATTGGATCAACAGAAAGATCAATAATTTAATTAAAATGTTCAAAGAAATGCATCGAACATTGGCACATTTTCATATTTACGTCCAAGGTATAAGTTTCTAGAATTTCACGTTTAAATTAATCATAGAACACTGAACTTGAACTATTTCCTAAGCGTATATCTGTTGGAAATTTCATATTAATGGCTCTATTTACAATGATATTGTCGTAGTATGAAATTCTGCGTTGCTTGTTTTGTAATCGATAGTGATATATAGTTGAATGATTCCTCCACATGTTTTTAACTTATTAAAGAAATATTATTTCCTACGTCTCAACATACACTACAATAAAAATAACTTTTAGCGGCAATAAATAGACACATTAATAAAGAGTGCTAAAGTATTTACCAGCATTAGTTAAGTGTCATTAGATCCAATGTCGCTAAAGCCTTTAGGGACATATC